ATGGAGAAAAATGATGAAATGGTGAAAATGACCAAGCCCATAAATTAAGACACTAATAGAAGCCCATACCCATCCAAAACACACTCGTTCATAATTAGGCCCAAATTGAAACCTATCCAAAGCTATAAGGGAACAAGAATAATGCTGGGAGTACAGGATGCTTTTTACAGGTTTCTTACAGGATTTTAAATTTGCCATACGTGGCAGTTTCCAAAAATTAAAAAAAAAAAAAAACATTTGACCGGGGCTGACTTCAAGCTCAAGGAGGCAAGTAGAAAAGCGAGGGAAATCATTTATTTCTCCCACAATTTCACACCTCCATTTTCAGCAATTCAGCCCCATTTTCAGCCATCTCGTTCACCTCCATTTTCAGCCGGGAACCTCCATTTCAGCCGTCCACCTCCATTTTTTTCAGTCGTCCGCCAGTCAGCCCCATTTTCAGCCATCTCGTTCACCTCCATTTCAGCCATCCCGTCGCCCTTTTTTTCAGCCGTCCACCTCCTTTTTCAGCCGTTCACCACCATTTTCGACCGTAAACAGAAATATTGACCGGCTGAAAATACATCCCCATTTTCGGACCGGAAGCCCACTGTTGAGAACAAAATTGACCGGCTGCTTTGTCCCAACATTCACCTCCGTCGAGCTCTCCCTTTTTCTCATGGGTTTTTCCTGTAATCAGTCCAAGCTTTAATGGGTGTAAAAGCTGGTTTGATAGATCCTCATGGTGTTCTTGATAATTGGAATGGTGTGTCTGTTGATCCATGTAGCTGGACTATGGTCACTTGTTCAGCTGAAAGTCTTGTTATTGGCCTGTAAGTCAAGTCTTGTGCCAAATCAAAACCAATTCTTTTACTTTATATATGTAACGTTTTAGATTCATTTGAGATATCTTCAACAATTAAATGAATTAAGAAAGCTTAAGTATATTAATTTGGTTGAAAGATTGCCTTATGCAGAGGGACTCCAAGTCAGAATTTGTCTGGTTCTCTATCTCCAAGCATTGGGAATTTAAAAAATCTTCAATTTATGTAAGTAGAAAATTTGATTAAAATATAATGGTTCATAAGTTTTGCATATTATGTTGCTGGTTTGATGAATGAAATGTTTGCAACCTATTACAGAACAGCAACATAACAAGACCAATCCCAGCAGAACTTAGAAAGAGGAGTGCAACTGATTCCCAATGGTGATGTGAACCCAGCCAAGGAACGACCTTAGCCTCTTGTCCACGAGCTTCGAACCTTAATCCACTTGAAGCCTAGCCCGGATCACATCAAATGGTTTTGTTGGCAGTGGATGAAAGAGCAGTGCTACTGATTTTATGTGCAATGCTGATGTATTTCTGTTGAAATGATCCTTGTTTAATTTGCCTGCTTTTGAATTCCATTTAGGCCTATCTTTCTGTTGTTTTTCGATTTCAGATCAATATCAATGAATTATGTGACTTCAATTAATATGGTCCTTTCTTGTTTGTTTTGTAATCACGTTATTCTCTTCTTTGATATGTCATTTTAATTTTCTTCTTGCTCATTTCATTTTGGGTAGGATTTTCTCTAGCTTGCTTCTAAGAGTTATAAACTGAACTCAGCATTACACACCTCATTTCCAGATTCATTCAAATTAGGATCCAACAACTGAACACGAACATGATCAAAACTGAAACAACAGAACTCAGATATGGACAACTTTGAACAAAACTGAACTCATAATTGAACAAAATTGAACAGAACCCAACAAAATCAAACTCACTAAATACACCGTTACACGAGATTCATTCAAATTTCGATCCAACAAAACCGAACTCAAACATGAAGAAAACTGAAAAAAAAAAAAAGAACTCAGAAATGGACAAATTCGAACAAAACCGAACCCATAGTTGAACAAAATTGAACAGAACCCAACAAAATCAAATTCACTAATTACACCGTTACACGAGATTCAAACTCAAAACTGAAAACATTTGAACACCAAACTGTTTGAGTCACGAATGGAAAGAATTTCAATTTTTACTGAGGATGTGCCTTTGCCATAACTTGTGGGTTTCTCATCATTTCTGCCATCACATGTGGGTTTCTCATCATTGCTTCCATCGCCCAATATTTTACTGAGGATGAAGTAACTTAGATGAGGGGAAAAAATCAGCCAAGTCGAAGCCCCCTGCCATGGCTACTCCTTCCTTCATCAGTTTTATCAAAGTGTCTTTGTCCCTCAGTACCTTACCAAATGCTGCTCTACATGTCATCGAACTTGTAAATGAAAATATTTTCTCAGTTAGATTGAAGGGTTTCCCTGAAGATGACTGAATAGAGTTGATGAGGTCGACTTCGAAAATGGTCGCCGGCCGAGAAGCTTTCAAAGGCCCGAGGTCGAATCCAAATACTGGCCTCTCGTCGATTTCAACAGAATGTTACGGTCGGATATATCGCCGTCACTGTCCCGTCGCCGTTAATCCAAGACCCGCGAGAGAGTGGAGGCGAGAAGAGCAGGAAGAGTTTGAAATTTCATGGGATCCCCTTTTCATTCACTTTTTGTCCTTTATTTCAATTTCCCTTTTTTTTTTATGTTTTTAGGCGACACATCAGCCAAATTTAAAACCCGGTAAGTTCCCTGTAAATGCACTCCTGTACTCCTAGCGCGATCCAACTTCTATTCATCCCATAG